GTCCCCAGCACAGTGGGAGTGGGCTGCTGGTCCCCAGCACAGTGGGAGTGGGCTGCTGGTCCCCAGCACAGTGGGAGTGGACTGCTGGTCCCCAGCACAGTGAGGGGTGGGCTGCTGGTCCCCAGCACAGTGAGGGGTGGGCTGCTGGTCCCCAGCACAGTGGGAGTGGGCTGCTGGTCCCCAGCACAGTGGGAGTGGGCTGCTGTCCCCAGCACGGTGGGAGTGGGCTGCTGGTCCCCAGCACAGTGAGGGGTGGGCTGCTGGTCCCCAGCACAGTGGGAGTGGGCTGCAGGTCCCCAGCACAGTGAGGGGTGGGCTGCTGGTCCCCAGTACAGTGAGGGGTGGGCTGCTGGTCCCCAGCACAGTGGGAGTGGGCTGCTGGTCCCCAGCACAGGTGACAGCCGGGCTGCTGGTCCCCAGCACAGTGGGAGTGGGCTGCTGTCCCGAGCACAGTGAGGGGTGGGCTGCTGGTCCCCAGCACAGTGAGGGGTGGGCTGCTGGTCCCCAGCACAGTGAGGGGTGGGCTGCTGGTCCCCAGCACAGGTGACAGCCGGGCTGCTGGTCCTCAGCATAGTGGGAGTGGGCTGCTGGTCCCCAGCACAGTGAGGGGTGGGCTGCTGGTCCCCAGCACAGCGGGGAAACCCAGTTGCTTACCCGCGTGTCAAGTGGCTGGCAGAGACTGGGTTTGGGTTTGAACCTATGTCAGCCAAGCCTAAAAGCTCCTTTTCCTTGGCAGTAGTAGGGGAAGGAAATGGTGTGTGTAAAATGCTCAGGTTGTCTCAGTCCAAGAGCAGGACTTGCCTTTGCCGTAAGGACTTTCAGGCTGAACACAGGATAAGTCCCTGGAAGGCGCTGGGACTGGGAGCTGGGCAAGGGCGGGAAGCAGGGCTCGGGCTCACCTGTGGTGCCCTCCACAGAGGCAGGGCCCAGCCTTTTGCGGCCGGCCATGCCGTAGAGCAGAAACTTATATTTTCTGCTGGGCTCCAGGCTGGGGATGGTGACCTCCCGCTGGTCTGCCGCCACAGGTACCGTCTGGAGCTGTCCTCCCTTGTCCTTGTACTGGACTAAGAAGGAGTCGAACTCGCCCTCAGGGACAGTCCAGGAGAGACCCACGGAGTTTTGGGTCACGTCTGTCATCGTCAGCTCCCCAAGACGAGGAAGGAGCTTTGTGTCTGAGATTGGAGAGGAGAGGAAGCTGCTTAGAAAGTGTAGAGCAGACCCAGCTTGCGGGGTGTCAGAGGGGGTGATCGGGCAGGGCTAGGGGAGGAGGAACCTCCAACAAAGGAAGCAAGTGTGCCTGCTCCGTGATGGGGACAGCAGGGTCTGGATTTGGGTGGACCTAACAAACAAATGGGTCACCAAACTCGCAGGTCTGGAATGTGGGGCACAGAGACACGAAATTCCAACGCTCGCCACAAGGGGGCAAGCGGTGTGCCGGACCCTCACTCACCAGTCTTTGCATCTATGGAGACAGGGCCATGGCGCTTCCCCCCCTGGAGTCCGAAGAGTAGAAACTTGTACTTGCGAGCCGGGTCCAGCCCTGAGACGGTGACCTCACCCAGGTCTCCGCTCACAGGCACCGTCTGGGACTGTCCCTGTGCATCCTTGTACTGGACCAGGAAGGAGTCGAAGGGGCCCTGGGCAACAGTCCAGGACAGGTGCACAGTACTGGAAGTCACTTCTACCACAGCCAGGTCCCCCAGGCGGGGCTCAATGGGGGGCTCTGTGGGCAGGGAGGCTGCAACAGAGCAGAGGAGGCTGAGGGAGACAGGCGGAACCTGCTGAGGGGACCAGGCTGCCCCGAGGCTGCAAAACAGTTCCACCCTCCACCCCATCCAAGCCACAGGCAGCTGCAGGCGGCTCACACCCGGGACCCCCTGAACCACTTATGTTTAGCACAATGGTTCTCAACCTGTGGGTCACGACCCTCTATCAAATGCTATCTCCAAATATATTTACATTATGATTCATAACAGTAGCAAAATTAGCCGGGTGGTGATGGCACACACCTCTAGTCCCAGCACTTAGGAGGCAGAGACATGTGAATCTCTGTGAGTTTGAGGCCAGCCTGGTCTACACAGAGAGTTTCAGGACAGCCAGGGCTACACACTGAAACCCTGTCTTGAAAAGCCAAAATACAAAGCAAAACAAAAAGTGGCAAAATAACAGTTACAAAGTAGCAATGAAAATAATTTTATGGTTGGGGGTCACCACAACATGAGGAACTGTAATGAAGGGTTACAGTAGGGACTGGAGAGATGGCTCAGTGGTTAAGAGCACTGGCTGCGCCGGGTGGTAGTGGTGGAGCACGCCTTTAATCCCAGCACTCGGGAGGCAGGGGCAGGCGGATCTCTGTGAGTTCAAGGCCAGCCTGGTCTACGGAGTGAGATCCAGGACAGGTGCAAAGCTACACAGAGAAACCCTGTCTTAGAGAGAGAGAGAGAGAGAGAGCGCACTGGCTGCTCTTCCAGAGGTCCTGAGTTCAATTCCCAGCAACCACATGGTGGCTCACCACCATCTGTAGTGAGATCTGGCGCCCTCTTCTGGCTTGCAGGCATACATGCAAGTAGAGCACTCATACATAAACAAATCATTTTTAAAAAATAAAGGGTCACAGCATTAGGAAGGTTGAGAACCATTGGTTTAGCAGATGCCATCATGGTTGTCCCCCTGTTGCAGGAGCTGCCACTGCATTAAAACAGTCCAGTTGGAGGCGATTGAGACTCAGGTAGCCCAAATCCGGAGCATGTCATGAGTCATTAAAGCCCCAGAGAGGCTGCCCAGGTGGAAGAAATGAGGGGCTGAGTGGGGTTCTGGAGTGGAGGACGGGGGAAGCTGTGTGGAAGGACAGACCGCAGACACAGCTCTGAGGACAGCTGAGCTGACCGCCCCCCTCCCCCCCATCCCAGGTGAGGGGGTCGGAAGCCCGGTGTGTCAACTGGGGAGGACAGAGCAGAGAGAAAGGAGAGGAGAGAGGGCCAGGAGAAGGGAAGAGCAAACAGAGGCCAGCTCTCACCGGTCACGCCCACGGTGGACACAGGGCCCACACGCCGACCCTCGTGGAGTCCATACAGGTTCATCTTGTATCTGCGCCCAGCCTCCAGGTCTCTCACCACAGCCTCCCTCTCCTGGCCCCCGACACGCACCACCTGGGGCCGCCCATCGCTGTCCTTGTACTGGACGGTGAAGGAGTCAAAGTCTCCCTGGGGGACGGTCCAGGAGAGGCTCAGGGAGTCTGGGGAGGATCCTGTCACGGTCAGCTCTCCCAGGAGCGGCTCCTCGGGGGCCTCTGGGGCCTCTGTGCTGGGCTCTGTGGGGCTGGGGGTCTCTTCCTCTGCAGCTGAGAAGGAGACAGAGAGGTGAGCGGGGTGGGGGGGGTCCCCAGCAGGTGCCCTTGGCTTTTGAGGAGAAGCTATGGCTACCAGAGAGGTCCCAATGTCAGTTCAGAGACACCCGCTCCCTCTTGGGTCTGGTGTCCAACATGCTCAAGCTTGTAGGGTGGCCTCATGCAAGCAGCACAGCAAAGTCTTCTGTGGAACCCCTGGTCCAGGGAGACCGCCAGCCATAGGAGGGATGCACAGGCTACAGCCTCAGCCATAGCCAGCCTGGACACTGACCAGTTCTGGACCACCAATCACTGTCCACACATCCATCCCAGCTCACCTAACCTGAAGGTCACCTCCCCATGGGTCCCATCCTGGGCTCTCACAGTCCACTCACCTGTCACCCCGACAACAGACACGGGGCCCACACGCTGGCCACTGTGGATGCCATACAGGTTCATCTTGTACTTGTGGTCTGGCTCCAGCCCAGGGATGGTGACCTGGTCCTCGTGCCCTGGCACCCGCACCAACTTGGGCTGCCCGTCCCCATTCCTGTACTGGATCAGGAAGTGGTCAAACTGTCCCTCGGGGATGGTCCAGGAGAGGCTCAGGGAGTCAGGGGTGGCATCTGTCACGGTCAGCTCCCCCAGGCGTGGCTTCTCTGGAGGAGGCTCAGGAGTTGTGGTGGGTACCACCTGTGTGGTCATAGCTTCCTCCTCTGGAGCTGGACACACACACACACACACACACACACACACACGAGTTAGGTTTTCTCTGTGCTCAGTTAGAATAAAGAAGCATTTATAAAAACAAAGTCCCCAGCCGCAATGGGTCCACCACATATCTTTTCTCTTCTCTCTACACTGCCATTCCTAGCACCCCACCCAGACATCTGCCGACACCCTGTGACGTCCCCCACCTCCTGCACTTGCCTCTTGTGAACGTGCTCCACGTGGCCACTGCCCTGGGCCTCCCTGCCCTGCCTTTCCTGGCTGTCTGCTTCCTCACTGGGCCCAGGTCTTTACCCCAGCAGGGTTTGGAAACTCCTCCCCGAGGCTGAGTCCCAGCCGCTCCTGAACTCCAGACTCTCGCTCTGTCCCTCTTGGCTGCCTCACACTCTCCCCATCCCACCTCTTCTGTCACAGGACCTTGGCTGGGCCCCCATCGCCTCACTTGGGGGGCTGACCCGGGCCTGACCTCCCCCTGCCTTCAGGCTCACTCCGCCTCTCCCTCCTAGCCGGCTGTGCCTCCTGAGGACATCCAACGACAGATGTCAGCGTACAGCATGGAACCCGTGCCCGGTCCAGTGTGGAATCCCGGGCTTCTGAGCTGCCCACCCCTCTCCATCCACCTCTCCAGGCCATCCCGCACCTCAGAGGACACCACACAAAATCTCCGTTCCTCATAGACTAGCGTATTTCCAGTCTTCTGTTCCACTCAGCTGACACTCTTCCCTCTAAGCTGTCACCAAGCCAATGTCTGGTTGACCTCCGGTCTCAGTGATCTTACGAGCAAGCTGGTTTAGATGACCCTCCGGGTCCTGTTCTGGCCCCGAGGCATCCCACGTTCTGGGCCCTTGGCAGTACTTGGACCTTCTGCCTGTCCCCCCAACTGTGAGACCCATGTTAACTCATCTTGTTTTCCAAATTTTACCCTGAGAGAGGTCAGCAGCCCTGACTCCTGTGGCCTGTCAAGCTCTGTCCTCTCAGAGCTGTCCCAGAACGGCTCTGTCTTACGTAATCACGCCAACACAGACAACGGCACAGAACAGGGACATCAGACAAGGCCGTCTGGTGCCGTGATGGCCAGTTTAGATTCCCGTTTCCACATAGGCACACTTGAACATTTGCCGTAAAACAACCGAACAGCCTTCATCCGGGCAATGAGGGACGTCCGCCTCTTCCAACAATTATGGCTTTGCGGTCCCTCTACACACCTTGCCCCAGATGGAACTCAGGGACCTCACCGGGTGGTGGAGGATCAGCTGGCAGCATCGTTCAGAGCTGAACTCCCCTTGCTAATGCCTCTGCACCCCAGCTAACTCACCAGCTTCTCCCTAACCCGAGTCACCCACGGCCCTGCACCCCCAGGTGTCACCCACAGTTCATGCCAGGCGAGTCTTGGGGAGCTCTGACTAGGAACAACTGACAGTCAGTCCCAGTTAGTCCCCAGGTCAGGGAACTGAGGCATGGGAATAAAAGTTTAAAACTGGAGACAGGAAGGAAGGAAGGAAGGAAGGAAGGAAGGAAGGAAGGAAGGAAGGAAGGAAGGAGGGAAG